GTGTACCTATTTTTTAGATTTGCTCATATGTATGCCAAACTTTCGTACGTCAGACGGCGCATAACTCGACAATGAATGGTCCCCTATGAATTTTTTTTTGTTGTATTTGTTTTCCAGATGATGGATATGAAGAAGCTATTTGTTAGTGGAAAACGACAAATAAAAACATTTGGAGCTTACGTTTTTTTCGCGGTTATGGCTCGATTGCTTCGAATATGGTAATTCGATTTCTTTGATGTTGCACTGTTAGTGTGCTGGGGAGATTATACCACTGTCAGAGTATTAACCATTGGCTTACACAGTCACGATTGGCGATTCGTGCCGGATGAACTCAGGAAGAATAAAAAGAACACACAGCTACTGAACGACTGAGACAGGGAACGTGATCTACATCTTCAAATGAGAAGTACCGTAAGTGTGCAATTGCATCTCGGCATTGATTAAACCAAGCTGTCGTGTGTTACTATTGGGTCCATGGATGCGGGTTGCCAATATTATATTGCGTGAAAGTCTCATTCGGAGACGCCAGGATTGTGTTGTGGAGGGCAATACCTAAATACCTTCGTTGACTCATTTACCAGAACGCGCGCTTTACTTTACAGGGACTTGGCAGAGTCAGGAGGTCTCCACGAATATCGACAAATACATTTCGGCATTTAAGGGAATTTTGGGTCTTTAGCCTACATTGAATTTCTGTAGTCTAACGATTCTCATCCATTTTGTCATGTTGTCTCCAGCGAATGAAGAACAAACATTTCTTCAAATTTAAAAAGTAAAAATTTCACTACTAAAAATTGAAAGATGTTCTTAAAACCTGAAAAGAAATATCACTGTTTTTGTTTTTAGGAGTAGGGTGGGAGTGTCATTGATAAAATTAGAGCGAGAGAAAGTTTTCTTTACAAATCCTTTCATTATTGAATCATGGAAAATAACGAAAACAATTTAATTCAAAATACAAAGCATATTATGTATAAAATTAGTTTATAACCAAGCAGACAGTTACAATCTTGTGTAAATAGAAACATTGATAGTTTAATAGTGGTTCAGTTGAATGGTTGGTTGGTTTAAGTGGATTGTCACTGGTGACTTGGTGACAAGTAACTACAAAGTTTGCCATTTTGATTCCACAACTCGAACCACCTACAGTCATTTGGCGGCTTTAAGGAATTTCAGTACGTCAAACAGAGAGAGGCCGCTGCACTCTAAAACATTCCGCAGGAATGGCTTGCCGAGTGTCTTAAGCCTCATCCCTTCGAGAGCAGGACACTCGTACAGAAGTGTCCGACTGTCTCTTTTGAGCCAGGGCCATCGCAACTGCGACAGGGCCTGTTGAAGGGCAATCCCATCCTTTCGACATGTACCCCAGGGCCAGTACCCAGCAGTAAGTTTGTAGGTATCTTCTTTGCTGATTCCCAAGAGAGCTTTGGTTTTATGTGGGTCGTAGGACACCCAGAACTGCCGGGTAATCCTATACGATCCTCTACGGTTTCACCTCTGCTTGGTCTTCAAATGATAAATTTCGGTAATTTTTTCGTGGGACACATTCAGTGCGATGCCGCACCTTGCTAGTTCGTCCGCTGCCTCGTTTCCGTAAATGTCCCTATGTCCCGGGACCCATATTAGGGTAATTTTGTATTAGATAGAGACATACGCTAGCTCTCTCCTACAGTCTTCCACTAACTGAAATCTAAAAAATATAGAAGATAGTGCGTTAATGGCCGCTTGACTATCCAAGAAGATATTCAGATGAATATTTGGGAAAAATTAAAGGTAATTTTTTTGTCAAGAGATTTCGCATTAAATTTAAATGATTATAAATAACAAAAAGCAAAAAATATGCAAAACTCATATGCATTTATTGTAAAATTTATCAAAATTTGCACAATAAATATCCAAGAACAGGTATTTTTGCAAAATATGCAAAAACATGCATTTACTGCAAAATAGGCAAAAATATGACGATTGAATGCCATTTTAAAGGAAATTCCATAATTCGTAAAGATAACTTAACCATTTCCATGTGAAGATGCCCAGTAAAAACATGCATTTGCATAAGATTTCATATCAGATTAGATATCATATTAAATTTTCGAAATTCAAATCGGCAGATCAATATGGCGAACGAATAAAAAAAAAATATAGATTATTATGAAAAATGGAATCCAGGGGTTTTCAGGGTCACTGATTACGAAATCGATATTATATTTTCAAAATTCAAGCAGCCAGCGATTAGCGATTAAAAAATTTAATCATTAATCGTACAGTTAATTACGACTAATTAATTTTAATCGTCAAACGCGCTTAACATTTTAATCGGATTAACATTTTGCCAACACATACTCACGGAGAAAAATGGACGTTTTTGGAAAAGAGGCGTAGCACCTCCGATACTGACTGAAAGTTTCATATTGCATATCTCTTCAAATGTTTGGGTTAAAGTACTCAAGCTTGGTATGGAAATACATATGTATGTATTTGTGTGAAACTAATACCATACTCATGGAGAAAAATGAGAGTTATTGGAAAAGGAGGTGTGTCAACTCCCATGCAAATTGATTGTTCTATGCTGCATATCTCTGGAGGTGTTTATTGCAGAGGACTGGCACCGAGATGTGTATACAAAATTAATTCCATACTCATGGAGAAAAATTTGAGTTATTCAATAAGGGGGCATGGTACCTCCCGTACAAATTTACTTTTTATACTGCATATCTCAAGAGGTGTTCATGGTAGAGTACTGGGACTTGGTACTGTAAAATCAATTATAAATTCATGGAAGAATATTAGGGTTATAGGAAAAAGGGGCGTGGCACTTCCTGTACAAATTGACTTTTTCTTGCCACATATCCCTGGAAGTGTTTGTGGAAGAATACTGGAACTTGGTATGGAGTTGTGTATACAAAATGTATCAATTGCTCATGGAAAAAATGTGAGTTATTAAAAAAGGAGGAATGTCGCCTCCCATGCATACTAAAAATTTCTTAATACATATCTCTGGAAGGATAGAAAATCTCTCGAATTATTTTAAATCTGTTATGGGGATTTATTTTATACGTGCCGTACTGACAGAAAAAAATTTATTTAATGGAAAAGGGAGAGCCGGGTTCGGCCTTATAATCTAAAGCTCTCATGATGCATACATACCTCTTGAGGCATTTGCTACAGTAATGAAAAGTGGTATTTTATCAAGGCCAGTTTACTAAATTTGAGTTGGAAATATTAGAACCCGCCGTGGCACCTCCAAGAAGGTTACACGTTCACGCGAGGTATCCCTGGAACCATTTTAAGGTAAACTTAGAGGGAGTGATGTATTTCGTATGCCTAGCGCGCAGACGAGATTTTATAATTTCATAGTTTTAAACGGCCTAAATACCTTAACTCGCTTAAAAAATAACGAGCTATAAGAAAATGGGCACAGAAATAAAATATAACATCATTAAATTATTTTTCATATTTGTATAAAAACGTGGGGTGAAACCCGCGGGTATAAGCTAGTATGTACATAGTTTTTAAATTACTGATGTCAGATTGAAATACTACAAACGCAATTTTACTATAGTTGGGCCAATGGTTTCGCGAAGATAATGATATTTGTGTTTAAAATTTACTATCGCGCGGTTATACATATAACAGCGTGGGCCGGAAATCCGATTTTTCAGAATTTTGATTGGTAATAGCAAAAATATGGTTCATTATGCTCTAAAACAATCTATGTGAAAGATGACAATTTTTATCTTAGGCTCGCCCAAGTCCATCAAAATTCAAGTGCTAAAAAATGTTTTCCGAGCTTACTTTGATTCTCTACAAAAAAGTTCCATATGCCAAATTATGTAGGACTAATACTTTCAAAGACAATTGCAATTTTAGTAAAAAAAAAATGTGTTAATTAATATCTTTATTAATTTTTATTTTTTGAGCATATTGAACATTGATGGACTTGTCCTCTTTCACCAGCCCTTTGCACATGATAAAAAAGAAAAATGGTGGATGGAGACCGTGTAGCGATTTTCGGAGACTCAACGCCATCACCGAACCCGACAGGTATCCGTTATCGCACTAACATGACTGCATGCATACTTTCTACGACTGAACAACGTTTTCTACACTCGAACTTCGCCGCGCCTATCATCAAATACTTATCATCAAATAACCGTCTGCGATAGCAACTAAAACGTCATTTAGCATGCACGAGTTCCTGTATATTTGCTTTGGACTAAAAAATGCTAGTAAAACCTTTCAGCGATTTATGGACCGAGTTTAGATGATATCCTAGTTGCGAACCATCACAAGCAGCACTTGCGGCTGGTGTTCAATAAACGCGAACACGGTGTGGAGATAACTCAAATAAATGGGTTTTAGGGAAATCCAAGGTGAATTTTTTTAGGATTCACCGCCAATAAAAATGGAATCTTACCTCCTCAAAAATATCAAACTACTAGAGAGAGTGTGCGACCTGCGACGTTTCTTAGGGATGACAAACTTTTTAGAAGGTTTTTTCCTAAAGCAGCAGAGAGGCATCTAGCACTCTGTAAATGCATCAAAGGTAACAAGAAAAACGACGTTTGGGTGAACTCGAAATGACGTCTAAACGAAGTCGTTTTTTCCATACAAACCGCAACGTCGTTCCGACTTCGTTTTTTCTCATCGAATCGAAATCGTTACGACGTCGCACATTATTAATTAATCCCAACGGTTTTTTACCCTCCATTCCCGCCCAACCGGCACGAGGGGCGCAGTCCGCATGGCATGCGGAACTTTTGTTTTTAGTTTTTTTCTTTTTAGTTTTTCGGTGCCGAGTAGTGGAAACAGGAGTTTGTAAGTGTCGAAATCTAAAACTATTCAGCTGCAGAATCAAATTCATCATGGTTATACTAAAGATAGTATTTCAATTATGCCCGTATGATACTACGTTTTTTTCTTGTATTTCGAGTGTATTTTACGCTGTGTTTTGAAAGAAAGAGAAGGTCACATACAATTTCAGTACTTGTGTAAGCGAGTAAGCATATACCAAAAAACAAACGAAAAACTAACGAAAAACAAACTAGGTTGTTAAAAACAGTCCGGCCAACTTGTATTTCGTTAGGTTTTTTTGACAGATGGCTGTATTTCGTTAGTTTTTTTACACAGCTGTTTGCATTTTGACATACGAGAGATTTTCTAAGCATACAATGGAAATACAAGTTTTATCTATTGCAACAAATTGTTTGCTAAACGCTGCTGCCTTAATACAGCGTAGGAAAAAGAAAAAGACTAAAAAAAAATATTCTGCGCAATGGCTTTTAAAAAGAGAACTGGAAGGTAAGTTTCGAATTCCACATTTTATACACATGTATATAGTTCGTTTTTGTAATTATCAAAAATACTTTTCATAGGATTTAGCCATAAACTGTTAAAGGAAATTGAGTGCGAGGATTCAATCCTTCACAAAAATATCTTAAGAATGACTCCAGCTCAGTTTGCATTCTTATTAGAAAAAGTACGCCCCTATATTAGCAAGCAGGATACAAAATTCAGGAACTGCATAGGAGCTGCGGAACGGCTGCAGCTGACATTGCGATATCTATCCACTGGTAAGATATAATATTTTCTTGGTAATTTTTAGTACCGACAGACATATGTATGTACATATTTCCAAAATTAGGTGAAACCCAAAGGTCACTTCAATTGCCGTTCCGAATTCAGCAGTCAACCATTTCCAGAATTTTAAAGGAATCAATTCCCGCAATATATTTGGCGTTAAGGGAGGAGTATTTGAAATTCCCTGCAAGTGAGCAAGATTGGCGTGATATTGCAAAAGACTTTTATCAGATGTGGGGATTCCCGAACTGCATCGGCGCTTTAGATGGTAAACTAACAATTAACACTTTTAAATTCACTCAACTGATGAAACGTCTCAGGAAAGCATTGCAGAATACTGCCAGTGAGGAAAGCAGGATCTACGTATTTCAATTACAAAGGATACCATTCATTTGTATTGATGGCAATCGCTGATGCCCACTATCGTTTTATTTATGCTGATGTCGGTGTTAATGGGAGAGTGGGTGATGCTGGAATTTGGTTGAACTCGGACCTGAAATACGCTATTGAAAAAAATGAAGTACATATACCAGCCCCATGCACGCTCCCTTTCATGTCAACTCCCTCGCCTTTTGTGCTTTTAGCCGATGATGCCTTTGCTCTAAAAGACTACTTAATGAAACCTTACTCTCATCTAAGACTATCACCAAGCGAACTTAAATACAACAACATACTTTCGAGGAACAGGCGCGTTGTTGAAAATGCTTTTGGCATTCTTGCGAACCGTTTTCGAGTTTTATTTTCACCCATCCATCGCGCTCCAGCTGCAGCCATTCAGATTGTATTATCTTGCGTATGTGTGCACAACTTTTTAAGAACAGAAAATGTGAAAAAGAAAACTACGTTTGACGCCATTTCCGAAAGTGAAATAGATGCAATAATAGATAACAACTATACAACAACCGCTTCTGAAAGAAATGCGTCAAAAAGGAGCGCTGAAGAAATAAGAAAAACTTTCGAAAACTATTTTTCTGCGGTAAATTAAAATATCGTTTCATTGTTTAAATAAACCAAAACTTTTCGTGTTGGAAATTTTCCATACTAGTAGAAGCAACAATTGGTTTATTTGGTGATTAAATAAATGAGTACAATGTCTTCAATTTATGTACATACCTACTAGCTAATACCTGCCTACTTAGCGGTGCACCGTGAGTAGTACAAACACTGTTACATTTTTGATTCAATTAGAGCAACCAAATATTTTAATGAAAGTAATAATAAGGTAAAAAAGTGGTAAGAATAATCAAAATACATATTCACTCGGCAAAATAATAACTCTGCCTCCTTTCGTAAAGTTTGACTATTTTCCTTTTGTTTATTGAACTTTAATAATTTACTTATAAAAATACACCCCATTAATTAAAAATCTTTAAACTTGGCAATATGTGGTGCGTTTATAATTATGACACGGGATGTATAGTTAACTCTACAAACAAAACCATATCAATAAAACTTTTAAACTTTAAACGAAATTCAGGAAAACTCATCAAAATTTCGATTTTTTTCTTTTAAATATTAAAAAGAAAATTGCATGTCTGTGTAGATGTGTAATTTTTATGTAATAAATGGCAAATTTCAAGTGGCTTAAGATCACCGTTAATTTTGGGTATTGTTTTTTTTAAGCTGAGGGCGCCGCAACAACCCATTTTGTTTTTGAAATACTTAAAAGGAAGTTCGAAATTGTTATGTAATTTTATGCATTTTCTTGAATTTTGTTTAAAGTTTAAAGCTTCTAGTGATATGTGTTTGGTTGTAGAGTTAACTAAAGTTTTATAAATAAGTTATTAAAATTCAATAACCTACGGAAAATGGTCAAAACATGACAAAAAGGGACACTCCTATTTTTGTCTATGAGTGTACATACATACATATAAATAGTCATTGTGTTACATAAGCCCATTCCGTTTCAATTGCTCACTTTGCAGATCCATCAAAATGTCATGCATTTGTTTCTTCGCTTTGAGTTGCAAGTCGGGGTCCAGTTTTACAATTTCTTCACCCATGTATATCCCAAAACTGTTTGCCTTTTCGTCAGTGTTATTTGTTTTTGATGCAACATGAAAGGCATTTGTTAAATTTTGTGATGCTTCGATTAAAGCAGAGGCGTTTTCATCCAAATCATTATTAATTTTTGTTCTTCGTTTTCTTGTTGCATGGACCAACTTTCTAGTGCTATTGTTGTTATTGTCATCAAACCGACCACAGTTTTGCGAAGTAACCAGAGGTGGAGTTACAATCTCATCCGATATGATTTTAATTGGTGTTGCATCACTATTAGTGTCTTCTGTAGAGATGTTTTTAGTATCTTGGAGCGACTGGATACTGCTGTTACTTGTAATTGCAAGAGGGGTAATTGTAATGAACTCTGTGTTGTCTTCGATGAGTGAAAAGGATGACTCTGAGTCAAAGCCTGGATCGAAACATTCTGCAGGCTGCAGTTGCTCCCCAAGCTTACGCGATGGATTGGGATCAGGGTCCAGGTTCTACAAGAGAATGAAAATATTAAGCAAATTTTACGTAGCACGCGAATCGACGCTTTGCCCGGTTTCACACAATAAAAGTCGTACCTGCAAACTCCACTTATTAAAATTATTCACTGATGGTGTATGCTCATTCACATGTTGTAGGAATTTCAAAGCTTCATAGAACTTCCAGCTGGTCTGTACGTTTTCGTCTCCGCCGGCACCGCTTCTCTTTGCCTTGTCCATCCTCTGCTTCTCTGAACTGAAATATGACTTGATGTTGCACCACTTGTGCGTAACTTCATCTTTAAATACATATATGTATTATACAAACATATAATATATCTTTTAGTTATTACATGTGAACTTGCTAAAAACTTACCGTATTGAAATGGTACATTTGCTGTGAACGTTGAGTTCATTTCATCCACCAAAGCGAGCCAAAACTGCTGCTTTTTATATTTGGGCTTATATGATGGTAGCATATGATTCCATATATATTCTGCACCGTGGACTTTTTCAATTAAATGGAATGCGTAGTTGTCTCGCCACTTTAATTTCATTTTTATTGTTACAAAACTGTTTTACATCAATTTTAATTTCGTTTATTTGAATTTCGGTAATGAAACGTCAAAACTCAGCTGTTCTTCACACATAATTTGTCTTTCTCTAACACATTGCCGAATAGTTTTTGTAATTTGACTTTCGTCAGTTTTTTTGTTTATACTTCAAATGAAAAATACAGGAAAAAAACGTAGTATCGGTAGTATACGGGCATTATAGAGAGTGGAAATGACAGTTTTCTTTATAGTAAAAATCGAGTCCGATATATCAAACTTGCTGGAATGAGAGTTAAAATCTTGACATAAACAACGGAATGATTCGTTTAGTTCAAAATTAGTTTTGCATGGCTTCAAAAACAGAGGTCGAAAGTGTCTTGACACTAGAGATGGAACATTAAAATTTACCTCAGCCAGGAGGGCCGGGCTATTAATCAAGCCTGTCATTAATTTTACGATAAATATTATACCTAGCATTTCTCTACGACTTGCGAGTGAAGGCAAATTTATGAGCTTTAGACGAAATGTGTAAGTGGGGAGATTTAATCTGAATCCCAGTTAAACTCACGCAATGGAAAAAGCAAGAATTGTTTTTGAATTAATTCAATCCTTTCTGAATGAACTTGGTAGCGAGGATTCCAAACAAAAGATCCGTATTTTAGTATAGGTCTAACTAAAGTGGTAAAAAGAGCTTTTGTAACATAAGTATCTTTGAACTCTTTTGACCATCGCTTTACAAATGCAAAAACGCCTTTGGCTTTATTGATTGTAACATTAATATGATGGTTGAAATTGAGTTTGGAATCCATTGTGATACGAAGATAGACAAAATTGGATACCTGCTCCAGATTATAATTTGAAATTGAATAAACAGCTGGTTGAACTGCCCTTCGAGAGAAACACATAACTTTACATTTTTTTAAGGTTAAGTGGCATATAATTTGCATTACACCAACTAACCGCGTTGCTCAGATCCGTTTGTATCAAAGACCTTTCTTCGATAGAGGACAATGTTTTAAAAAGTTTCACATCATCGGCATACATTAAAATTTTTGAATGTTTTATTATAGAAGAAATATCATTAATGAATATCAGGAACAGAATCGGACCAAGCTGGCTTCCCTGAGGAACTTCTGAAGAAACTTTAATGATGTTGGAAGAGCAATTATTAACAATAACTTTTTGTGTTCTATCAGAGAGGTAAGAATATATCCATTGAAGAAGACTGGGCGGAAAGCCAATTAGGTCGAGTTTACGAATGAGTAACGAGTGACAATCCTTGTCAAAAGCTTTACTGAAATCGGTGTATATTACGTTGGTATGAGCATTTTCTCTAAAACCGTTTGAGACATGAGCTGTAAACTCCAATAAATTAGTAGATTTTCCTTTAGAAAACCCGTGTTTAGATTGTGAAATTAAGGAAGATATAGAATATGTCAGCTGATTAACAATAATTGTTTCGAATAATTTGGGGGTAGCGGAGAGCTTCGCTATGCCTCGATAGTTTTCTATAGAGGACCTGCTGCCGCTTTTGTGAAGTGGTATTATGAAAGACTCCTTCCAGGCTGACGGAAAAACGCCATGTTTTAGTGACAAATTGAATAGAGTTGTTAAAGGCTCGCAGATGTTCTGAGCGCAGTTTTTAAGAAAACACGTTGGAATATGATCAGGTCCAGGCCTAAATGACGCTTTTAAGGTTTTTAAATAGTGTGAAACTTCATCGGAAGATATTACTGGAATATAAGCAGAGTTGATTTTACAAAGCTCTCCACTTATAGGGAAGTCTACAGAATAATTGGACCGCTCAATTTCCCATTGAACTTGATCCAGGCTCGAAAAAATCCTTTATATCCGAAAAAGCTTAACAAAGGTTGAAACTTCCTACATTTTGAGAAAAATTTTCAGTAACCGGTATGGGAGGAAGGATAGTCAAGAATTCAAATCGAGTTTGCCACCTCACTCTCATAGCTCAAAGACAGAGCATTCGCATCGCAACTCGAGCAATCATTCTTCAAAAACTTATCAGTTTCTTACCAACATTCCAAATACAAGAGTTTAATGTATCCGAACTCAAGATCGCGGATCTGACCTTTCACACCCCCGGCCAAATTGAGCTAGTATTAGGTAGTGACCTGATCCTACAAATCCTATATATCTAATGTTTGTTATTTTAAATTGGCGTTTGTACAAATATGTCTTCAACGGCAATACCAAAGAATTCTCTTCCGTAGGAAAAACGAAAATAAACTCACGGATTTTGCGCTTAGAACGGTCACCTTCGGAGTTAATTGCGCTCCATATCTCGCTATTCGGACTTTGCACCAGTTAGCAGACGATTCAAAAGCTACTTATCCATTAGCACAAAGAATATTAACGGCAGAAACTTATGTTGATGACATATTATCAGGAGGACACGACCTTTCTTATAGCGTAAACGCGCAATACCAACTAATTCAATGTCTACTATCAGCTGGTTTCCCCCTAAAGAAGATCACCTGATCATCAATCAACTACCTCTAGAAGATATAGAAGTCTTTCTCTGGTCCGACTCGTCGATAGTGCTTGCGACGCTTCCGAGAAGGCGTACTGTGCAGCCATTTACTTGCGATCCCAATCACCCAACTTAGTTTCGTCACATCTTTCCTTTTAAAAAACGAAAGTAGCACCCCTACAAACAGTGACTCTTCCGCGCTTAGAACTGTGTGGAGCAGTCCTATTAGCCAAATGTATTAAGAATGTCATCAATCAACTACCTCTAGAAGATATAGAAGTCTTTCTCTGGTCCGACTCGTCGATAGTGCTTGCGTGGCTTGAAAAACCCCGATGCAATTGGAAAGTGTACGTGGCGAATCGGACTTCACAAATCATCGCCAGTGTTGGAAATCTCAAATGGCGTCACGTATCCATGAACCACAACCCGGCAGATTTGGGAACGCGAGGGTGCAAACCACAGGACCGAGTACAACATTCACTTTGGTGGCACGGACCCGCATGGCTACTCCAACGCCCCAACCAATGGCCATTATATTTTCAACAAAATGTCACCCCACTCGAAGAACGTAAATTAGAAGCTCTACATACTTTAGACAATCAACCAGATATCTTAGATCGCTTTTGATCTTGGTCAAAGGCTTTGGGAGTAATAGCTTACATGTTTCGATTTGTTCATATAATAAAACCATTTCAGTCCACTCCAAATATAAATTATGAATCTTTTGTTATCACTCAAAGAGAATTTAATTGGGTCAAAAGACGCCTTATAAAACAAGCTCAAGAAAGGCATTACCCAAATGAGTTGTCATGTATGTAGTCAGTAGCTCTGCAACAGTCGGCTCGATCGCTACCTTCAGCGCATGTCACTACCCAACGATTCAAGCTATTCTTTATACCTTTTACTTGTCATTATATTTACTCTCAAACACATAATATATAAGTACATACTTCCAATAGTAACCGTTGTTTATGTGTATATACATTGCATATCACACGTACCTAAAACTGGCGACGAGGATGGGATGTAAGAGCACAGCGAAATAAAATAACGCGTGATCACAAGCAGAAATAAATAGTTGGAAGCTACGCAGTTATACAAGGGTAAACTTCAGGGTGAATAAATACGCTGAGGCAGTGAGTTAGCAACAGTCAGTGCAAGAGTCACATGGATGGTAAAGGGGTAAAAATCGAAGAGCCCACAAGTAACAAAGCCGCTGCGACCGAAGGAGTAGGAAAATCAACCGCACAGAAGTCCACAGCTGTGAAAATGTCCGGAAGTGGAAACTTAGAGCCGTTTGATCTGAGCCAGCTTAATAAGTGGTCAACTTACATGGAGCGCTTCAATTTATTTCTACTTGCCAATGATGTGCAAGAGGAAGGGCGTAAAAAGGCAGTTTTTCTTACGTTAGCCGGACCTCCTTTATATGACCTCTTAGCTTCACTGGCATCTCCTAGACAGGTGGGTAACTTAAATTTGGAAGAAATTGAAAAAATATTGACTGACCATTTCTCTCCACGCCCTTCTGAAATTGCTGCATTTTATCACTTCCAGAAACGTGTTCAACATCCGGACGAGTCTCTCAGCAATTACATTGCGGCTTTACGCATTCTGGCTGTTGATTGCAAATTTGGAGAGGCACTCGATCGCAAGCTGCGTGACCGGTTCCTATGCGGAATGAAAGACGAAGGATTGTAAAAAATTCTGCTGGCTGAAAGGGAAATGAGAATGCAAAAGGTGCTTGAACGTGCATTATAAAGCGAAGCAGCAGCCATGAATGCTAGATTAATCCGGTACTCGAGCGAACAAGTCCACTCTGTCAAAGGAAGCCGTCTACGTCACCAGCACAAGAATACAAGCAATAAAGAGGCAACATGCGCAGGCTGTGGAGGTCAACATACACGAAAGCAATGCCCGTACAAGGAAACGACTTGCCATCATTGCGATCTCAAGGGTCATCTGCAACGCGTATGTCACAAAGCGGAAAATTCCTCCAGTTCCAGCTCTACGAACTACGATCATCTTATCGAGATTCAGTCAATCAAATCACGCCTTTGGCCAATCAGAAAAACTCAATTTCCGAGCCGATTAATAGTTATAAATGCCTGTTCGAAGTTGATTCCGGTTCATCAGTGACGATTATGACTGAGGCAACGTTTCAAAAGGTTTGGCCCCAGAAATCGCCGAGATTAGCTAAGTGTAATGTGGATCTCAATGACTACCAGCATAATTCCATACCAATCAAAGGTGTGCTCGACGTATCGATATTGTACAATAATCGCAGAATTAATAATATGCAAGCGGTGGTAGCTCAAATCTCGTTGGCAATAATTGGTTCGAAGCGCTAGGCATACGTATCGAAGGTGTTTTTACTGTCAACAGCAGCGCAGGCATAAACTCAGTACTTCGTAAGTTTGAACACTTATTTTCATCCGAACTTGGTCGATATTCGGGGCCTCCGGTGTCGTTGCAAATTAAGTCGTCAGAGCAACCTATCCGGTTGCCCCCGCGGCGCATTCCCTTTGCGCTTAGGGGTATGGTCGAAGAAGAAATCGATCGCTTATGTGAGCAAGGAATCTTACAGCCTGTGGATTATTCAGATTGGGCAACCCCAATCGTCCAAGTCGACATTAAATCGGGTTATCAAACCAAATTGCTATCAAATACCAGCTATCAGCACACTTCTGGCATCAATCGAAGGCGGATCAATATACGCTAAAATTGATTTAGCACGAGCATACCAACAGTTGATAGTTGACGAGCGATCGGCATTGCTGCAAACGATTTCCACGCAGAAGGGCGCATTCAAGGTGACCAGGCTGCAGTTCGGGATCTCATCAGCGCCTGGAATTTTTCAAAGCTGTATCGAAAATATCTTAAGGAATATTACGGGGGTCCTCTGTTATTTCGACGACATAGTAGTCATGGGCAAATGCGAGGATGAACTAGTAAAAAGGCTAGAAGAAGTATTTGCACGTTTTGATAAAGCGGGACTACGTCTGCGTAAGGACAAGTGCAAATTTGGTGTACCGTCAGTGGACTTTTTGGGATTTAAACTCGATTCCCTTGGCGTCCGACCATCAGTCGAAAAGATCAAGGCAATTCATGAAGCACCATCACCTAGAGACAAAAAGCAGCTACAAGCTTTTTTACGGTTAATTAATTTTTACCATGCATTTTTGCCCCACAAAGCAACAATAGCGGAACCACTACATCGGTTATTAGACAAAAACATGAAAAGGCGTTTAACGAATTGAAAAGGCTTATAGCATCGAACAAAGTATTAGTGCACTACGATGAAAAATTGCCGATCGTATTAACATGCGATGCATCGCCTTACGGACTAGGAGCAGTCCGTAGCCATAAGTTGGCAGACGGATCGGAAAAACCCATCGCATTTTATGCGAGAACTCTATCTAAAGCGGAACAAAACTACGCTCAAATTGATAGAGAAGCAGTAGCACTCATACCGGGAGTAAAAAGTTCCATAATTATCTTTATGGACGTTTTGGGAATTTTCACCACAGAAAAACCAGTACCCACTGTTATTTCAAATCAAATGCTTGGTCGTGCAACACTTCTTAATGCTTATGATTTTAAGTTGGTTCACCGTACTGGAGTGAAAATCGGCAACGCAAAATTTCTAAGTCGATGTCCAGTACCGTCCGAAGTTGACACAACTTCTGCCGAAGATGTTCTGATGATCGAACTATCCGCCAAACCAGTTGTAAGCGCTCAGATAACTGCAACACAAACATCGAAAGATCGGTGTCTTTCAAAAGTTTTAAACTGGGTGTCAGGGAGATGGACCAGTAGCAAAATTAATCGGTCGGATGAGCTGTTTCCATACTATGGTCGACGAACCGAACTATCAGCTAACAGAGGATGTGTAGTTTGGGGCAATCGCGTGGTCATTCCGCCACAATCTCTGAATCTATTTTACACGCAACACATCCCGGTATCGTTAGCATGAAGGCCCTGGCTCGAAGTTATGTTTGGTGGCCGAACATTGATGCAGATATTGAGGCAACTGTGAAGAAATGTACCAACTGTCAGCAAAATCGCAATGAGCAATCATTTTCTGACAGGTAGTTCGGTTTGGGTTCGTAACTATGCTGGAGGACCTAAATGGATTGAAGGTCAAGTCACTGGCCAAACTGGACCTATATCCTACAGCGTACTTCTTAATGATTCGAGAGTAGTGAGACGTCATTAAGATCAGCTTCGTAACCGCACAGTATCCTCACCCGATTCTGAAGGCGTGCATGTACATGACGAATATTCTGAAGCTAGCCTGCTTGAGCCAACTGGAGAAGTAAGGCCCTAGGAGTGATCATGAAACCCTAAGTCCAGCATTAGAATCGGAAAACAATACCGAAGCTTTTACTCCTTCCACACCGGTAACAACTCCTCGCAGATCTAATCGCAACAGGCAGCCCACAGAATTCTATTCAGCATCTGGGTGTTAAGGGGTGTCATGTATGTAGTCAGTCGCTCTGCAACAGTCGGCTCGAACGCTATTCTTAATACCTTTTAATTGCCATTATATTTACTCTCCTAAGTACATACTTCCAATAATAACCGTTGTTTATGTGTATATACATTGCATATCAAGCGTACATAAAATGAGTATTCATAACTAGCGAACAAACGACCAATTTCCAAAAAGAGTTCACTGCTGACATTAAATCCCTTTATCGACAAAAACGGATTACTTCAAGTCAATGGTCGTTTAACAAACTCTTTCCTCTCGTACAGTGAGGGACACCCAGTTATCCTTCCTGAATCCTCTCGATTCTGTCACTTATTTCTTCAGTTTTTGCACAACTAGCTTATGCATGCTGAGCATCAACTTATGATCAGGACGACGAGACAATAATATTTTATTCCTAGACTGAAATCGAAGGTCAAAAACTGCATACGTAATTGCAAAACATGCGCAATCTTAAAGCAAAATTCCAGTTCACAAATCATAAGTGCGTTACCGCCTGAGCGTTCAAATTTCTAATTACCATTTACCTACACCCGGTTGGATTTTGCAGGTCTTTTGGGCGTTAAATCATCTACCTTGCGAAAATCCCCACTGCTCAAAGATTACGTTTGCGTATTCATTTGTTTTTCGACCAAGGCTATTCACTGAGAGCCTTGCTCTGATCTTTCTACGAAAGCATTCCAGGCAGGATTCTCTCGTTTTGTAGGAAGACGCGGTCTTCCACAACGCCTCTTCTCCGACAATGGAAAAAATCGGGCCTTTCAACAAGATTTCAAACGATTCCTCAAGGGATGCTCAGATATTCGATCAAAATATACCCTACATGGTTTCGATTGGCATTTTTTGCCACCAAACGCTCCTCACATGGGTGGACTTTGGGAGGCTGCTGTAAAAAGCTTCAAGCTCCATTTCAAAAGGATTGCGGGAAGTCACTCTTTCACCTTCGAAGAACTGGCTACCTTATTGGCACGTATCGAAGCAGTTCTGAATTCGCGACCACTTTCTCCTATGTCCCATAGTCCCCAAGAGTTGCTAGCCCTAACTCCAGGTCATTTTCTGCGTGGTGCGCCTCTCCTGGAAACCCCAGAACGGTTATCACCTTTCACTACAGAAAAGATGGGAGAAATTAAAGATTCTACACCAACAGGTCAGTCTCCGCTGGAAAGACGAGTACCTGACAGAACTTCGCCAGCCGTATAAATGGAAGTTCCACAAAAGAATCTCACCGTAGGCGATTTTGTTGTCTTAATACCACCAAATGAATAGCGCTTAGGCCGAATAGAGATGGTATATCACGGGTCAGACAATCTCGTGCGCGTCGCAGACGTTAGGACGCAACACGGCATTTTTACGCGACCAATTAAAATTGTGTCCACTTCCCATTCAGTCCAACCTGCCTAGTCAGATTGCAACACACCACACCTAAACAACACTCCACGTTTACCTTAGCTTTATCAAACTCCTATCTTTTTACCGACGATCGCCATCTCTACCATCACCAATCCGCAAGATTCAGGCTCCGTTCGTAAACCCGCCGCGAAATCCGTTGGTACACCAGTGCCAAATGTGCTTCCGATACCATCCATTGCGGTTTTGCAAGGCCTTCCTTGCAATGAATGTCGAGGACCGGATCCAGTGAGTGGAGCGGCATCGTTATTGGAATGGGGACAGCAACACCACACTTTACTGCACCGCGCCGTACCAGGGGAAAGGGTAAATGCCAAGAGGTCATCGCATCCGCCAACGGGTGGGCCGTCGAGGGCAGAGACGTACCGTCAACTTAATGTTGCCATTAATGCATTGACCCAATTACGGGACAGCTTTGCACCGGTGCAACTCGGCCGGTATGTTTAAGGAACTTGCGCTCCCTTAAATTTCCCAAAGTTGTTTGCATCCCTGCACCACTTTCAGCCAAAAGCATCCCTGTTTAGCTGGAAGTTCGAAAAGGTGCACGGAAATCCATTTCCAGTGTTGCCTATAAGGGCAGCCGCCACATTGCCATCTACCTATTTTTGCAAAGCTCTTTTCCCGATCGAGGACTTTCATCGGAGCAACAATCAACTTTACATTAACAATCGTTTTTTGAAATCATTTGTTTCATTTTAATTTACACTAAGATTCCTGTGTAACATGCGGTTACTTCTTTTTACCTCCCTTTTATTAGCTCGGGGTGTAACTATGTAATATTGATGCGCCTAAAAGATGCAGCGATTTCTATTCTCAAGTTACATACCTGATGACAGTACGAATGGAAATTATAATAGCGAGGTTTTAGTTTTTTAAACTATAATTTTATTGTATTCATCTTTAATGTGCACATTTGCATAATATTATTAATTTCATTTCCATTACTTTTGTACAATACATACCAATCTATTCATTCGTTCACATTAATTTCCATACTCGCGTTCACACACTCACATATTCATTATTGTTAATTAGCCGTAAGATTTAAAGTTGAATTAAACATATATACATATATTAAAAACCGTAACCCACAATCTCGTCAAATTCTAAACAGGCAAAAATAACTTATCAAAATAATTTTGTTACGTTTCAGAGCTAAATTAACGAAACAAAACTCAATCGTTAACGTTGAAACGAAATAAATCATCGACCATTAACATGAAACAAAAACGTCAACGAAAAGTTGTTGTTGTATGCCATTGCCAGCCTCCGCTAGGGCAGGCACCTTGTCGTTGGTGCGGGGGCTTAGTCGAATCACGACCAGACCTTATCATCGGGTGGTAGTGTAATCGTGTCTCTACCTCCGGGTACTGTGCGAATGCACTCCATTTCCTATGGTTCGGTCTGCTTGTGAGCGGTGACCAAGAATTGCCGACCCCCTAATCCAGGGTGTTAAGCGACACCGTGCCCATTGGAAGGTTTGCAGCCAGGGGGTTTACCAGACCGGCTGTATTTTAACGGCGCCTTCCTGACACCGGGCCGCTTCAGGGAGTAACGGTGGCCTTGCTGCGGCATGGGGCGCTGCCGTAGTGGACCGTTTGAATTCCACTTTTATGACCTAGACCACTGTGCCTGCTTCGTCGGGTAGGTGGTCGTACGAACAAGATGAACACAAACAAACAAAAACAAAAACAAAACCAAAAACCTATGTCTACGGACAAAACTTCGAGCGGAGGAGGGGATTCGAAACCGATCCCTCTCGTCCGCTCCTCTTTAAACGAGGCGGAATCGACTCGTGGGCAGGGTGGGGCAGCTGCTGCTGCAGGGTGCAGTAAGGGGTCGGAGCCGACCCCTTCGTCTGCACTCGTCTCTGGTGGTGCCGGTGGGAACCCACCGCACCTAGGCTCGGGGTTAGGGGCGCGGGCGAATTCGCTTGCGTGCAGGACGGAGGCAGGGCCGCAGATGAAATCGTCTGCGGCTCTGGACGTAAGGGCAATGGACTGTGTGGCCGGTACCAGCCAAGGACTTGCGGCTAAATCCAGGGGAGACTGGAGGAAGGTTTCGTCGGCCTTATCAGGAGTTTTTATGAGGGTGATCAAGCAAAACCCGGGGCCACCGCCGCGGTGCGAGAGTGCCGGTTGGCACCAGGGTATGTTTAAGAAGGTGGTGTGCGCCGACGAGCGGTCGGCCTCGCTCTACAGGGCGGCAGTAGCGTTGGTCGGGGAGGTGTGGAAGGGAGCCCGACTCGAGGTTGTGGACAAGGGGGACCTTCCCTCGCGTCCGCGTGCTCGGGTCTGGCTTCCCTCGGCACCTTCCCCGCTG